TAAATATTAGATNAAAATTCAAGACTCATATCAGAGACTTAGATACAATTCGTCCAAATAAGTAAAATATTATCCTATCAAACAACCATACTTTGTGCCTGAGAAATTTTGAACTCTTGACCTCTCACTAGAATGTCAGAGGCTCTGGCCACTTGGGTTACCCCAGTTGGTTGAGCAAGAGAAAATGTTGATTCCACCGCAATCTGTTCTTGGCATTGAGGTAATCATAACCAAATATTCGATGGATCCCACTTGATGAAAGGTGTAATGGCCAATTGTCTCAAACTGTCGTAACTTTTATTTTAGGAGTTGTAAACTAACATTTAATGGTAATAATTTTAATACGACATCGATATTTCATTTTAATATCCTAGTATTGTATTTTTTGTTCAACGGTAATGATTGTATGATTCAATTTACGGGCACCTCTATTAATGCTCTTTTCAGTCTTATTAAAGGCAGATCAACTACATTAGGACTAGAGTATTCATAATAGATAAATTTATTATGATCTAACACCAAAAAATTATTAAAATTTAAATTCTAAATGTCCGACTTTACAACTCATTTATATTATCATTTAAACTATCATTGGGATTAATATTGCGATATTATCCATTTGTAACGGGCGCGATCAGAGATCTCATGATCCCACTAGTTAGGACCTATCAGGGTGGTCTCTAGGAGCTCTCTTTTGCCTCCATCTTTTTTTTAATGTGCAAAAAAAAAAAAAAACACAACGGGTTCAGGGTATAAGGCAATTGTTAAAGATTGTTTGCACTTCAAAAGATCTAAGAACTCACACTTTTTATTGTTAAATATTAGATTTTTTGTATTGCACTCTCAATATATTAAAAATATTATAATATGACACTGCCGCTAACTTTCATTGCATATTCTATAAAAAAATTATTTTATTAACGTTGACAGAATAAACAACGAAAATAAAAGTTAACGATCGAATCACATCATAATATTTTTAATATATTAACAGTGTCATATAAAAAATATAATATTTAAAAATATAAAGTAAGAATTTTTAAATTTTTTGCAATTTGCCCTTGATTAGTTTCGCTATATATAATCCATTAATGAAGCTATCTTTCTTATTCATCTTATGTTAGGAGTCTCCATTAACGACCACGTGCAGACTCACGTGACCTCGTGAATGGGATGTTCAAATTACGCTCGATTAGGACTGTTAATCAAATTGAGCTATTCGAGCTTGTCTTGAGTTCGACTTGTTCAGAATCGATTCGTTTTTTAAACGAGCCCAAACTTAAACAAATTTTTAGACTCGTTTAGAAGCACAAGCCCTACAAGCAGTGGCGGATCTACAATTGGGCAAGTGGGGGCAGTCCCCACTAGAATTTTAAAATTTTTTGGAGACTAAGTATAATTTTAAAAAATTTAAAATTTATTAAAAATTTGCCCCCACTGAATTTTTTTTAAAAGATTTATTAATATTTATGATATTTTGACAAATATATGGGTCACTTATAAATGTCAAAAAAATTTCTTTAAAAGGCTAAATGCCTCAATTTTGTGTTAGATTAAATTATTTTAATTTGGTGTTTTGAATAATTTATTGTGATTGGTTAATTGATTCTTATACTAAATTTTAGCTTAATAGAATAGTCATAGTTTATATTTGTTTCGATTGGTTGTTAATATTCAATTATATATGATTGATTCAAAATTTTTTGTTAGGTGATTAGGTCTTATAGATAAATTTATAGTGAATATTTTTTTGTTAACTCTTTTTGTATTGCGCTCATCTATATGAGGTGTTACTTTAATTGACGTTCTATTAATGAAATGATACTTNTATTTTTTTGTTAACTCTTTTTGTATAGCGCTCATCTATATGAGGTGTTACTTTAATTGACGTTCTATTAATGAAATGATACTTTTGTGAACATTAGTAATTTGGAAAAATTTCAACCACACCTCTTCTAATTTATCATATTTTCAAAGACATCCCCTCTATTTTATAAATCTTTAGTGACACCCCTGTCATATTAAAAATATTAACTAGAATGCAATTTTACTAAATTGTCTATAATATATTTGATGACAAACTTTATCCACACTCTTTCTAGATAAGCATATCTTCAATGAGACATTCTCTATTTTCTATTTTTTTTACGTATTAAAATTTGAGTCGATTAAAATTCGATTCAAAGTAATTAAAATTTATTTATTTACATATTAAAATTTGAGCCAATTAAAAATTATATTTTTTTTTTAAATTTGGACTAATTAAAATTTTATTTTAGCCAAATTAAAAATTATTTTCAATCGACTCAAATCAAATTTCAATCAATTCAAATCAAATTACTTGAGGTTTATGTAGGAGCATTTTTGATACTTTAGATAAATTTTTTTTGTTAGAAATAATAGTTTAATGGTAAAAGGTGTTAGTAATGTTTAAATTAAACTAGAAGGGATGTCAATGATACTTTTGATAGTAAAAGGGTATCCTTAAAGATATAATAAATTAAAAAGAGTGTGATTAAAATTTTTCCTAATAATTTTAATATTCATAAGATTTAGGCTGCCTTTTTGGCTCCGCCCCACCTACGAGCTCAGTTCAAATCCAATAAACTCGGTTCATTTATGTGTAAATTATCTGGCTCGGTCTCGAATCAGGTCCGGCTCGTTTAAGAAACAATTTTTAAAGTTTGATTAGGAAATAAGTTTTTCAATCATGGCTCAAAGTCAGACTCGGGCTCGTTCCTGCGCTCGATATTCATGGTGGCATCTTCTTGTATATACTTTCCGAACTCTTTATGTCAATATAACTCTCTCTCTCTCTCTCTCTCTCACACACACACACACTCACACTCACACTCACTGACACATTCACTGATTCACACAAAGACTCACAGTCTCTCTCCATGTGTAGATGGATACAAACATTATATTCTTGTATTCTGGTAGAAGATTTGTTTTTCACGAACAGAACAGAGAATTTGAATATGGTTTTGTTTCTTAGTATAACGGGGAATTGATATTCACTTCTGGTGGGTGGCCATGCATGTTGGGTTTAAAAGGTTAGCGTTCTGTGTTTCTTCTCTGTTTAGTATACTACATTTCTCATTCTTTCTTGGGTATATTAATGTTTGGTTCTTTAAAAGACTTAATCTTTATACTTCATTAGATTCTCATCTGCAGTCTGTGTGACATTCTTGTTTGTTTTCTGAGAAAATGCAGGAAAAGAAAGGAAACCAAAATCTTGATCATTAGTGTTTTCGTCGTCTGGGACCCAAGAAAGGTAAAAAACTTCCACTCATTGTTGAATTTGGGATTTTTAGAGTCATGCTTCCTAGATTCTGTATCTGCATGTGGGTGATTGCTTGGTTTTTGAGAGAATATTGGAAAATACAAGGAAGATAAATCTTGAAGATTGGGTTTTCTGATTGTTTGGTACCCAATAAATCAATTAGAATTTTGATTCAACCTTGTAATTTGAGCTTTGCAACTAGTTACATCACTTTTGTTTGTGATGTGTCCGCTTGGTTTATGAGAAAATGTAGGAAAAAAAAACTTCTAATCCGCAAACAAGTCATACTTCTATTGGGTTTCAGAGGTTAGGTTTTTATGTTTCTGTGCTTCATATACTATGTTTCTCATTCTTGCTTGGGTACATTAATGTTTGGTTCTTTAAAAGATTTTGTCCTTAATTTATACTTCGTTAGATTCTCATCTGCATTCTGTGACATTCTTGTTTGTTATCTGAGAAAATGCAGGAAACGAAAAGAAACCAAAATCTTGACAATTAGGTCTTGCATTGTTTGGGACCAAAGAAAGGTCAAATACTTTCACTCAGAGTTGAATTTGGGCTTTTTATAGTTAGAATTTTAATCTTTTTTTTTTTTTTGGGGAGGGGGAGGCGGAGGCGGAGGGGACTTGAACTCTTGACCGCAATGTTTTCACAAGGTAAAAAGTACCATTGGACCAAAGGCCCGTTGGTTAGAAACTTTATTTGTATGTGGGTGATTGCTTGGTTTCTAAGAGAATATTGGAAAATACAAGAAAGATAAATCTTGAAGATTGGGTTTTCAAATTGTTTGGTACTCAAGAAAATAATGAAATTTTAAAGTCAACCTTGAAATTTTGGTTCTGCACTTAGTTACATTCACCTTTGCTTGTAATGTGTTTGCTTGGTTTATGAGAAAATGTAGGAAAAGTATACTTCTAATTATTGATCGGTGGAAAATTGATCTCATACCACAAAAGATAGATCATTTGCAAGAAGGAAATCACGGGGATTATATTCAATCCCAATTGGCACCGGCCGGTACTTAATTGTTTCTAAACGCATTTTTGTTGCTAAAATAAGCCTCAGAGTGACAGATTAGATAGTAGGCTAAAAGGGGAAATCTTATCGATAAGTCTGATCACCAAGAAAGGATAAAAAAATCTCCCAAGTAAGGTCACATACAAAATACTATATAACAACAAGATCACCTTTGGATGAGGCACTTTAGTTTTAGAAACTGAGATCATAAGATTAAGATTTAGCATTTTCTTTCCTTTTTCATATTTTCCCCCCTAATAGGATTGATACCAGAGTAGATCTCGGATTAGACATGGTTATTTAGGGGGAAGCAAACATTATTATGCAGCTGTATTAGAGATGGTAGCTATTGTTTTGAAATCTTGGAAAATTGCTTTAAAAAGTTGATTACTTTGTAATCTATAGTGTTGTATCACATTTAATGTTTGTTTTTGCAGAACATTGAAACTTTAGCAGAAAGATGGTTGCCTTTGGGAAAAAGTTGAAAGAAACACAAATTGAAGAATGGCAGGGGTAGGCTTGAGTAGCTCTGAACCATTCTTCCTCATTTAAATGCTTTTTGATAAGAATTTAGTTTCCTCGTTGTACAATACGTGGAATGTTAACAAATATGTATTGTATTTGACACGGTGTTTGCAAATTCTATCAGCATGCTTATAACTTGATTCCTTCCAGGTACTACATTAACTACAAGTTGATGAAGAAGAAAGTGAAGCAATATGTTCAGCAAATTGAGGTTTCAGCTCAAAATCGCCAGTATGTTCTTAAGGACTTCTCGAGAATTCTGGACAAACAGGTTGAGAAATATTTTCTTTAGACTTCCCATCTCTGCTTTTTATTCCTTTTGCTGTTACTCATTTTTCCCCTGAGCTTCATAGGAATATAATGATTTTCCATCTTGTGCGCCAACACATCCAAGAGCTCGTCTACAGTTCCCTCCTTGGAGATTCTATCGCACCCTACTTAACATCAATTACGATTCTGAAAGCACTTCTCTTTTTGAATTTTACATCTTAAAAAAAAAAAAATCAACACTATGTGTAATATTGGTTTCTATTTGATATTATTCCACTCAAATGTGGCTGTCATTGTTTTGCAACTGCAAGATTCCTTATTGCAGCACTGCTAGTAGTATATTTTTGAGGTATTCATTTTTTATGAAATTATGTCACCAATTCTAGAACTTGATGATGCTTTAGTACAGAAGGGCATTTGGTGTTCAATCTTTTCAAGTTTCTCTATTTCACAATGATTGGTAATTGAACTGCTGGGGCATTGGATAGATCTACTATAAAAAACTACTGCATACGTCGTCCTAGTGTCCTGTAACCATTTTTTTGGTTTTTAAATTTCAGATTGAAAAGATTGTCCTTTTTTTGTTGGAACAACAAGGCCAGCTTTCAAGCAGGTTGTCTAGCCTTCGAGAACAGCATGATGCCTTTATACAGCAAGCAGATGATTCAAAATTATCTGAACTAAAAGAAGCATACAGAGATGTGGGACGGGATCTTTTAAGGCTTCTATTTTTCGTTGAAATGAATGCCATTGGTCTGCGTAAGATATTGAAGAAGTTCGACAAGCGCTTTGGATATAAGTTCACTAATTACTATGTCAAAACGAGAGCAAATCATCCCTATTCCCAGCTGAGACAAGTTTTCAAGCATGTGGTAAAAAACTGAAACTATGAGTACTTCTTTTGTGGTAGCAAAACACATCTAGAATGATTGAATGAATTAGCTTTAAGTTCTTTGTACTTTAATAAAATCTTAATCAATATAGCTGAACAAGTCGCATGCAGGGTATTTCAGCAGTTGTAGGAACCATATCTCGCAATATTGCAGATCTCCAGGACCATCAGGGGAGCCATGTTTCAATTTATGATGGACTCGCCATGCCCCTCCCGGTTTTGTTATACTTCCATTTACATAATTCAAATTACTGTAATTATTGTCGTTTTCTTATTCATTCTTTTTTTGACATTACATTCCATTTTCGAAAATGCTAATAAAATTGCAATTGAAATCTTTCACATCTAACTTGATGATAAATGTAGACCTTATCTAAATCCATAAAATTTGAATTCACAGAGTTTGTTGTTAATGTACATGAAAGCGACTAGTAGCACTCTGAGAATTTAATAAACATGCCTCCAGAATTCCGAGTTTCCGACCTATAATGAGAAGAACAGTTAATTTGTTTTGCACCTAAGTTTCCTCAAAAACTTTTGTTTCTTAGAGTCCAACTACATAGAAAATTCCTCCGAGATGGCCTCTGAAATCAATTTCCTTTCTTATCTTCCAAACAGCTAAGGGTGGTTAGATGGGCTATTGTCACATGCACCTTGTAGATGATTACTAGAGTAGAGGTTGTACCTGGAGCAATTGTAATTGCTCATCTACTCAAGTGATTTGTCGCTGGTTGAATCATGGAATTAGCTTCTCTAAAATGGGGGTAAAGTTGTCTCCTACTTACCTCTCCCAAACCGCCTATAGGTGAAGCCTTGAACAATATGTGTGGCCCTTTTTTTTAACGCTCTAAATTAGTGGCTCATGATTGCTATTTGTCAAGATAAGTAAAATGAGTAACATTATGTGACAAAGGAAACCTTGAGTCATTTAAGCTTTCAAGCCAATTTTTTTGTTTTAAAAGTAAAGTAGTTAATTAACATATTGGCCAACTAAAAGTTATATAATTTTCATTCATAGAGCACAAAGGTTTAAAGAGATAGGATGGTAGCCATTATCTGTATAGTTATGCTATGTAACTGTTTTGATCAGAATTACTTTTTTGACCCAAAGGAGGGTTGATACTCTACTCTTTCAGGACCCCACCTCTGAGATATAAAAAAGAAAACATAAGCATAGTGATAATTCTTGTTGGTTAATAACTCGAAAATAAGTTACTGATTCCAAGAGATTTTTAAAAATCCACTCGGCTTTGAAAAATCATGTGTAGCTTATTAGACTAGTAGATTATGTAGCATAATCAAAATTGGAAATGCGAAAGGGAAAACCATATTTCCAAGAGGTAATTGGTCAATTAGGCTGTATTGATATTTGCTTGATATTTGTTTAGTCGGCGGAGTCTTGGCATATATTGTCAAATAGTTCAAAATTTTTGAGATTGTATCTCATTTTTCCCAAGAACATAAAGTACTTTTTTCGTTTAGTTTATATGATGTGACCTGTGTAACAAAGCTTGGTTTCAGTTATTTAGAAATTGGTGGTCTTCTTTTTTCCAGCCCCATTTGTTATCTACAATCTGATGGGTGTCTCAATCTGTTAAGTCTGTACCCTGAACATCCTTTCTCATGCTTATCACGAGACTATAAACTGGACAATAAGGAAAAAAATTGTCTACTCCTGTAAGTTCTATAATTGTCCCAGCCTATAATTTCATTGCGAAACTTAATTTATGCGACATCTACTTCACAATCAGATCAATAAAGCTTGCAATACGAAATTCTTACTTTATTTTCATTGAATCTGATTTTAGTAAATTCCCTCTACTGTTATTATTTGCAGGACCCTATAATTGAATCTATCTGCGCAGCTGTTGACCGGTTGACAAATTCAACAAATTTTCTAGAATATTTGGGAAAACATGCACTTATTATGCAAGAGGAGTTACCAACTGTGTTGGAGGATCATGTTGTTGACGAGAGATATCATTTCATGTCCCTTACCTTGAACTTGGCAAGTACATTTTTGTACATGGTCAACACATATATTATTGTCCCAACTGCAGATAACTACTCACTGAACCTTGGAGCTGCAGCAACTGTCTGTGGTGCTGTAATTGGGTCAATGGCTGTTGCACAGGTGTTCTCTTCGGTATATTTTAGTGCATGGTCAAATAAATCATACATGAGACCTCTTTTATTTAGCAGTATAGTTCTTCTTGTGGGAAACACCTTATACGCCCTGGCTTATGATCTTAACTCGATATATGTTCTTCTAATTGGTCGTCTATTATGTGGGTAAGTGATTGCATTCTCTTTCTTAGTACATGACTTGTTAAAGCTTACAATTGAATCATTGATCTTATATTACAGTACTACTTGTATTTTAGTCTGAATAGACTCTGTTGTAGATAGTTTTCTGCCTGAAATTGCACATATGCAAGTTTCTTTATGCTCTTTCATATTTAGGTTCAGTAGGCATCCGAATACTTACCCAAATTTCAGATTCAAATTCCAGTGCGAACTACTCTTGAGCTATGCAATGCAATGCTTCTCTTTTTGGCTACAGAGAGGCAACATAGTGGCCTACTGCCTGTGAGTCGAAAAGGATCCTCCGAAATATATAGAGAGATTTGATGGATCAAATGTCTAATCAATCTAGGATTTAGAAAAGGACAAGAAATTTATCTCAAAAGAAACCTAAGTTCCTAAGTATGTGGAAGTTATAAAAGCCACTTGATGTGGCAATCACCAAGTATGTATTGTTTTCTCGTTTACATTTTCCTTTCAGCTTGACCTAATAGTATATTTTCACAAACGTACTTAGTAATTTGATTATAATAGTTTCATTAAAGTGATCATATCTTTATGAATTTTTCGAATCTATAGATAAAATAAGACAAAAAACAATATTATAAAGGCAATAAATCCATTCTTACATTTCCACATCAAAGTGAAATATAGTACTTAGTTCTTTTTTCTTCAATTAATCCCTATTGGTGTTCCAAAAGTTCCTTTTCAAAGTCCTAGAGAAGAATATGCATCTTGGGTTGATGTATAGTGCGACTTGTCAGAAATATTGGGTTATATGTGATTTCCCCCATTATCTCTCCCAATCGAGATATTCTCGGTTTTGCCCAAGAAAGATTAATTGAATCATCAAAAATTTAGAGCGTGAGGTACTATTAAATCAAATCCATTTTTTTTAGGGGGGGATTCAAATTATTATTATCAATTAGAATGATTTATGGTTGGGTTGGTTGGACTAATAAAATAATGTATCTAGACTCCATTTAGGGAAACCCAATTGATAATATATCTTTGATTACTACTTGTATCATAAATAATTCCTATTTGTAAAAAGATCCCGTTTGGAAAGAGAAGTGGTCTAAATTAATCAATGTTAATCAATCGAATGGTTGAATACATCAAATATTTGGCGGGCAGCATGAAATGAATTGAAAAAAAAAAAAGAAAGTCATAACAAAAAGAAATGGTAATGTGAGCATTCGTCCTATATGTGCAAATTGAAATCGGTAGGATCTTTACCGAGAGTAGAACATAAACCTAAAAATTTATTATAATCGTCCCTCATTGGCTGTCCACAGATTCTATTATCAAGAAGTGTATCCATGGCTTCGTGTACCAATTTCTCCTTACACATTACTAATTCTCCTGGCGTGGATCTACTTCTTGTTAATAGATCAGTAAAAGTATTATTCAGATAGATTACTCTTCTAAAGGGTTCATTAATATCTGAACTCATTAGTTTTACCCCATCTATTTGAATAATCGGTCTTAACTTGAGAGGAAGAACTAGTAATTGACACAAAACTATAGGTTATGGTTCTATATTAGTTCGAATAAACTTAACTAATTCCATATGTCTAACCAAAAAATCCTTTCTTCTTCCAACTTTTTGATCTTCCCCATCATTCCCGGTGGACCATTCTTCCCCTAATTCTTACCATCCTACTAATGAACAATCTATAATAATTTATAAATCTAGATCAGCAAACAGCTCCAGTAGAGATCTCACGATTTCGAATGTATTGAAACCTTGGGTAGGAAAATAAATAAAGTGAGATGCTTTATTTCCAGGATTGGATTTCATATTCGACTAAACCTTATAATAGTAAGAAAGTGGGTCTTTTAGCCACGGGCCTAGCAAAAGAAAATTTGGGATAGGATCTTACAGGAGCTCCCCCACTTCAAAATTGGACATGCAAGTTTCCTTTCATCTAGCTCAAGTAGGTACACCAAATAAAGAAAGAAGTTCTCACTTCAAGTTCTAGAAACCACCCCCCCCCCCCCCCCCCCCCCCCC